GCCAAGGCTAATGAGATTCAGCATGAGGGAGATAAACGAAACTTAGGAAATATACTTAAAATAAAGATAGTTGTGTGTGTGAATATGTGGAATTTACCAACTGAGTAAATTTCAAAGCTGGAAGAAAAATAACATGAAAATAAATTAAAAATTAACTGCAAAACGGCAAGAGTGCTCAAATAATGTAAACCGTTGGCTCAAACCTTAATGACAGGGAGTTCTGGACTTTGGCTTGGAGACCTAGGGCCATGTTTCAGTGTAGTCGTCAACGAGCAGCGAGTGCCACAACCCGCTCCTGCAGCCAGGTGTGTGTCTGTCACTGGTCAGGGCACCCCAGGGTCAGCAGTCCTGCCTGATGCACCCATTCCTACATCTCTGCCTTCGGCAAAGGGACCCTGCACTGAGGAAAACTGGTAACTTCGGGCAAGACTTCTGAGCCTATTAGTTTTTCAAGGAGGAATATGTTCTAGGATCTTCTATGATTCTCTCATGGAAGATGTTCTTTTTTCCTCTTTCCTCCATCAGTGTCTATTTTCTCTCACCACATTCCTGTTCATTGGATGTCAGTGTTTACCATGAGAATAAAATTTTCCATCAATCACTTCCTACAATTCTCCTCCCTTCCCTTTTTTTTTTTTTTTTGACAGAGTCTCATTCTGTTGCCTGGACTAGAGTGCCGTGGTGTCAGCCTAGCTCACAGCAACCTCAAACTCCTGGGTTCAAGTGATCTTCCTGCCTCAGCCTCCCAAGCGATCCTCCTGCCTCAGCCTCCTGAGTAGCTGGGACTACAGGCATGTGCCACCACACCCAGCTAGTTTTTCTATTTTTAGTAGAGACGGGGTCTCACTCTTGCTCAGGCCAGTCTCAAACTCCTGAGCTCAAGTTATCCTCCCACTCTGGCCTCCCAGAGTGCTAGGATTACAGGCATGAGCCACTGCGCCGACCTCTTCCCTCTTCTTTCTCCACCTTTCCAACCAAATGCATTTTGAAAAGATCTATCTCTTCATTTCGCCCTGTCCCTGGCCAAATATGTAAACATGGAGTTTGGGAACAAGCATTCATGCACCTGTCCCATCCCCATCCCCCCCTCCCTATTTGTCCCTGGAGGCCCCACCAAAGTCAGGAAGTAATTCGTTTGCCACTGAGGGAAACCAGCCAGAAGGAAGACTGTCTGCAGAGGGCAACTGTGTTGAGAAGACCACACCACTCTTCTCTAGACAGAAGCCCTGTGGTTTGATGCCAACACTAAAATATGCTCTCTGTGATTTTCAAGCTACATACGGTATTATGAAACTGAGTTCCAGAGAAGTGTCTCAGGGATCTCTGAGGAAGGCAAGAAGAAGATTTCAGGCCATAATCAGTCAGGTCAGCTTCACTTTTGTCTGTTTCATGTAGTGCAACATTTTTTGTGAAACAGAGGGTTTCATCAGGAGAAAGAGGGTAAGACGGGAGAAGAAAAGTTTGAAAATTCCTGATCTAGACAAAGTCTAAGGCAACATTTCTGTACTTTGTTAGTTTCCCAGAAATCCCAAAGGGAAGAGTTTTAATTTGGAAAAACTCACGGTATTCATCCGGAGTCCTGACCTTCGTGAAAGTACCACGGGGGCCCTCACCGACGCTCGTGTATGGAGTGACGAGAAACTCATAGAAGGATTCCGGCTGTAGGTTTTCCACAGTGAATGTCTTTTGTTCTGGGTTGTCGATTTTGTATTGGCAACATACTGTATTATCTGTGATTTTCAAAAAATGTTTTTTTCAAGAAGAAAATTATTAAAAGCATGGTAGAGATCTTGTGAGAGAGTTGGACACTAATATTCTTCTTGTCTCAGCACTGTCAACATTTTTAAACCAACCAAAACTTAAATCATAATTTCATCACACTGGGGACACTGGTAAAGTGTTGAGAAGATGGCAGGAAAAGCAAAAAAATCCATGAAACAAGGGATGTTAGTGGCTAGGGAGAGCATACGAGTCTGCAAAAAACAGTAAGAGTCTGCGAGAAACTTCAAAATAAATTGTAATAACATTTAATAAGTCAAAAAAAGGGAGGGGGGCGAGAAAGTTTCACAACTGACAGGCTTTCTTAAGGAGCTGATGGTGGTTCCAGTGCTTCTGAAAATACCAGGCCACTTTGTTTTTTAAGTAAGTTAAAATACTGGCCCCTCCGCCATCTTGTTCACCCTACTAATTTGCTTAAGAACACCATTTGATCATAAAGTCGTACGAGAAGAGAATTCAGCCTGACCACAGGCAGAGATGGTAGCCTTTTTAATGATTTCAAATAATGGGCTTTAGAAAAAATAAACAAATAAAAATAAATGTCACCTGAAAGAACTGCCTTTTCAACTCCTGGGTGGCACTGCCCCGCCTTGGATTTCAGATAGACACGGTATCCTTTTATAAAAGCAGGCTGGGATTTAGTGGAATAATTCTTCCAACTCAGAGTGAA